GCTTTCTGGTATCATTCAATAATTTTCCCAGAGAATCCTTCAATAAAGAAAGTCAAGGCTTAACTTTTTCTTCAGTTCCCCCAGTTTGAGAAATGCTGAGCATGTTCTTCCCTTTTGGTTTTCTGACTCCAGATCTTTGCACATTTCATTGTAATATTTGACTTTGTCTTCTCGAGCTGACCGCTGCTATTCAAATCCAACATTTTATTTTCAACAAAGACCATGAAAGTTAAAACAAAGAAGGTTACATAAAAGAAGTTATAAAATGATTGAGTCCCTGTTAGGAGAAACATGGTGCTATGTAAATTTGATAGCTATTGTCAAGAGTATGCAAAGTCTCATAAACTTTTAAATAGTGCTTCTAATTTAATCAAGCAATTAGTTTTTCAATTTAGAAAACAAAATCCTTCTAATGCATCTGTATTTATACAGACAATTAGACAGAAATTATTTAAATAGACCTTAAAAAAAAGAAAGAGGATAAAGGGAAGGAATAAGTTGAGGCAAGATGAAAGCTGCTTTGCAAATAAAAAAATGTTCTATTCTAGTTCCAGAATGATTGATATTGGTAGTCTAATCACTGATTCTCATTAGTGACAGACTCTTTTGGAGATGCTAACACTGAATAAAACAGAACAGGAAGTGATACTAACTTTCATCTTTTTTAAAGCTGGGTGTATAATCTTTGTTTATACATAGTCTTCATGATGTGACAAGTACTGTAACACTTCTGTTTACTCTGTATTTAAATTGAAATTCAAGTTACTTATCAAAGCACATGAAATCCATTGTAAGAACAGCAGAAATTGTATTTTAGTCAGCAGTAATTAGGCAAGGTTATCACAAAAAAGAAAGAGTAGAGAGTGCATGTGCAGGATAATAAACATCTGTAGGGAATTGAACTTTACAATGGTTGCCTTACAGCATCAACCCATCCAGGTGCTATATGATCAGTAACTGTAAAAACAACACAAAGTGGCTACTACAAGAACAAGTAAGTTGTTTGCTGGGAATCCATCAATGCAAGCAATCAAGTCCCTTCAGGGCAAACCCCTCTCCCAAGACTGAAACTCCAAGGGAACACATGAGCAGGCATGTAAGATTACTGGTGACCACATTGGTCTACTGGTGAGTGGAAGAGGGGGAAAAGAAGCAATAAAGATATGAGCTAGTTCAACCACGTTCCATATACTCTTGTCGATCTGGAGATGAGAGAGAGAAGAGGAAGGGATAATTGGTCTGAAGTGTGGTGACATGGGGGACTCCTGAGTTCCTGGACTAGGACATAGTCATGGAGGGCTAGAGCTAAGAGTAAAGCATCCAGACAGTATGAAGTAAGGGGAGATGCATAAGAACGCTCAAACTTGTAGATAATACCCATTTGAGCTAGCCTTGATGGCTTGATGAT